GAGAGAGAGAGAGAGAGAGAGAGAGGAATGGAACAGCCTACAAGTGAATGCATGAACATAATTATACTCATCTACTTTTATTTGATAACTACCAAAACAATTTCTTTGCTTTATTTTTGCCACATGCCCAGCAAAATCCCTGAGATGGTCTCCAACTCATTAAAACGTCCTACTTAAACTTCATATTTGGACTTCAAAAAAAAAAACTTCACATTTCGAAGCATTTGTCATGTTGGATTCTTAAATCAAAGTCAGCATTCTTCCAATACCGACCAATAATATCAATAACCAAAGCTCAAAGGGTTATGTAAGGGTACCCATACATAAGAGTATTTCCTTAATGTACTCAATATTTTCAGACACTCATCGCCCCTTGTTTATACAAACTTTTTTTAATAAGAGCATTTCTTGTCATTAGGAGGGGTAAGGTAGGTATTTTTATAAGAAACTAGTAGCATTTAGCTAGTGGTTCAAAAGCTATCATTGCTCAATGTGGGCCATATTATAACTCATATGAATGTTGTCATCCTCCACGACAGTTAGTAAATGCTTTTATTTCTATCAAGCATTTCTACTTTATCTCTGATTAATTACCTGAAATGCCCCTAGACAAAAAAGTTACTATTTGGTGAGGCTAAGGGTATCAAGTGCCATAAAATGTTGAGTACCTTAATAAAATACTCATAATACTCACATGTATGAGTACCCTAACATAACCCAAGCTCAAAAAGCTGAAATATTGGCTACATCGGCTGATATCAATGACAAAACTGCTAGAGCCATGACGTGCGAATGTGCACACCACAAAGTCGGTGACTTTGATGAATATAGCAGCCATTATACACCAGCATGACAGCCAGTATATAGGATTCTCGATATTTGAAACAAGAATGTAAAATAAGATCCAATTTTTTCTAAAAAATACCCGTCAGATACATTAGAATGTCATTATTTCTTAAAAATATTATCATCTGAGCCTTATCCCAACTATTTGGGATCAACTACACTGCGCCATTCCACTTTACCAAAGGCCATATCCTCAATCAAACTATAAGTCACCATACCTGTTGTTACTACTTCCATCCATGTCCTTTGGGGTCTTTCCCTCGCTTTTTTAGAGCCTTCCACTTGAACCAAATCACCCATCCTAACCAGTGTTGTTCTAGGTCGACATTGCACATGACCAACCACCTAAATCTACTTTTCCTCATTTTATTGCCTATTGGAGCTACCCCTAAGTTCCTTGGATTGTATTCATTTTGAACTCTATCCTTCCTTGTCTCGCCACTCATCTATCTCAATATCCTCATCTCAGCTACACTAATTCTATGCATGTCATTTATTGACTGCCCAACATGCCATCCCATAAAGAATGGCTGGTCTTACAACCATCCTATAGAACAGTCCCTTCAGTTTCATTGGGGTCTATCACATAAGACTCCAGAAGCACATTTTCGTCCACTCAGCTCTAATTCTATGAGCAATATCTTTTTCAATCTCTCCTTTCTCATGGATGATCAACTCAAGATATTGAAAATAATCTCTTTTAGGTACTTCTTAGCCGTCAATCTTAACTAATTTCTCATTTATGCTCATATTGTTACTAAACTTGCATTTCATATATTCTGTTCTTAGCATGACTAATTTTAAAACCTTTAGATTCTAATGCATCCCTCCAAAGTCTAATTTTGCATTTAAGTCGTCTCTAGTCTCATCAATCAAAACTATGTCATCCGCAAACAACATGCACCACAGAACCTCATCTTGTAGATGCCTAGTTCCCGTCCATAACCAAAGTGAAGAGATATGAGCTCCAGGACAACCCCTAATATAGTCTATTATCACTGAAAACTCACTTGTTCCTCTACAAGTTGTTCTCACATTAGTTAGCGATCCCTAGTTTATATCCTTAACTTTGTCAATATATCCTCTTGAGACTCCTTTCTTTTCTAGCACCCCACCAAATTCTTTCTCTAGGTATCTTATTGTACGTTTTCTCTAAATAATTAAAGACCATGTGCAGTCTTTTCACTTCTCCCAAACTTCTCAATCAATTGCAAAACATAAGCACTATCCAAATATGTGCAAAACACCAACTAAATCTCCATCTGTGCAATTATCTTAATTACCATCCATCAACATCCAACAAACAAAATCTGACTCGGATAAACCTTTCAAATCATTTACCCTCCATCCCTAACGTGCCTTACAAAATAACCCTTACTCCATCAATCCTTTCTCTAAGGCCATTTCTTTCTATAAGGAGCCATTGCCCTCCTACTGACCAAAGGAGTTCACGAGGCATGGTCCATAGGGTACATGATATAGCTTATATCACTAGAGGTGATCAATGAATATATCCTTTTAAATCTCAACTGATTTAAGTAAAAGACGGCAAATTACATCAATTGGAAGTGTAGAACGCTTCCAAAAGTCACTCTAAATATAAACCATGAGGATTTTTGTAGAATTGATCTTATGAAAACTATGTCTCTGCAAACATAAAAATGGGATTGTATACTAGAAGACCATTAACCTAGCTACAAGGATATTACAGCCACCCTTGAGCATCAATGTCAAATCCGACAGCTTGGGGTGTGTCCCAAAGCTTGAGAAATTTCCCTTTGAACTCTGAGCATGGCCAATGGCACACACCCAGAGGCCTGACTCCAAATATATTGGCCAACTATAATTGTGACCTTCTTGTACCAAAGGTGGATGACCTCGTTGTAAAGTTTTCTTATATGAATAGAAAACAAATAATACTATTATTTATGTCATTGGCTCTTACTATAACTGGCTCTTAATATAAATTGCATCAAATAGAAGATATTGATAAGAAAGCGAACAATAAGATGAATCTATGAACATTTTAAAAAAATATAAGATGAAGAGCAAGTATACTATGCTCACAAGATAGCATAGTGTACATCTACTCCCTCGGTCAAAAGACCTACTTGGGAGGATTTTTAAATTTGAAATTTTGGGAACTACCTAAGAATCACTAGATGATTCTTCTCAAAAGAAAAAACTTGAAAAATGAGTTTTCTAGTACTTAGATCTCACCCTCTAAAAATTAGATGGTCACCATTTAATCTTGAGACATTATTTTTTTGGAATTGCATACAATGAGACCATTTATCTTCCTTACAAGGAGGGCACAATTACTCCTAGCCATTTGATGTTAAATTGGATTGACTTGGGGTGGGTCACAAAGTTTAAATTATTTTATTTTTTTTGAACTTTGAGTGTAGTTAATGACACAAACATAACCATCTGATTTGAAATCTAAAGAACAAGAACGATTGTGACCTCCTTGTGCTAAAAGTAAATGGTCTCTTTGCATAAATGCCCTATTCTTTTCAAGTGCATAGAGACAAAAGGTGCAACTATGATTTCTTTTTTATTGAAGTTAATCTACAGGTTGAAGAGGTTACGTCTCCAAATTTTGGGTTCCCAAAATTAATCCCAAATGTGGTTTTTTCACGAGGGAGTAAATGGAGAACATACTCACATGGGAGTATAATATCTTTTTGGCTAAGATGAATCCATGCGTTATACATAAAATTAAAATAAAAATAAATATAAATATAAAAATAAAATAAAATATGAAATGAGTGTCTTAAGACTTTTACATGAGAAATTAAAAGAAACACCAAAACTTACATAAATGGTTCCTCTAATTCCAGCTTCCTCTAATGCTTCCCGAAGTGCCGCATCTTCTACAGACTCATCATCTTCCCAGCCACCCTAAATATCAGAAGAACACAAACACAAGCACATTAAATTAATCGCAATCACAGCACATTAAATTTTTCCATACTTGTTTATAGATGTGTCATGCGAGGGAACAGATCAAGCACAACCATAACAGTGATTATTAGGCTCCCATATCGCTTTATTTCAATGGTCATGCGAATGACAAAAGGTCTGAAGTCAAAAGGAATATGTAATAAGAACAGCAGAATGCAAAGAGCAAAAGTTCTGCATCACAGAATACATCCTTTATCATAAAGTCAAGAAAGCTTTCATCAACATAGCATAATAATAAGTGAGTACAAAGAGATGTTGACAATCTGGGGATAGAATTTGAGATTAAAATTAGGATTCTGGACCTAATTTATGCTGAGTTTTAATCCAGACAAAATTTTAAAATTATGAAGCTGAATTGTACAAGATCATTAAGGCTTTTCAGTTGAATTTTGGTTCTAAAATCTCGAAAAAAAACTTTACCATATCAAATAATAAAACCTAAAACTTACTTTCAGCACTATTCTGATCCGAATTTCCATACAAATAGGGTTTGGAGAAACTGAAGCAGACATTAATCTATTGCTGGCTTTAGCCAAGGACTCGAACAAATTTCTGGGTGATTTTTATAGCCACATGAAAAAATTTCTTACAAGAATTTGTACAACTTTGTAATGCCATTAGTTTGCATTAAGATAACCTTTTATTAGTCATGATGTCATATAAAGTTTCTTTTATTCGAGACCAGTGTTTCAATGGGTTTTTTTTATGACAAGATTACATAGAAATGGAACTTGAGACATGGTGCTATGAAAACCTAGCTGCTACAGACTTGACCCAAGCCCAATTCCTGCAATGTTTCAATTTTTTTAAGAATATGTATGTCTTGACTCATTTATCTATTCCCTAGTGGAAAATTGTTCGTTTCTTTTACTGTGCTTGATTAACATATCTCCCTTTTTGTTCATGATATTCTACTAAAACCAAAAATCATGGAAACAGACCAGGATACAACAGGATCAGCTAAGATGAATGCATATGCCATGGAACTCAATGTGGCTGATAACCTTAAAAGAGGCCTAGGCCAGTTGCTTTTCAGCAAACCAAATTTGAACAGAGGCACATGGCTAACATCTAATAGGATGTACTGCATTGCTGCATGCACTACAACAAATCCAAATAAATGAGCTCATCAACTCTGCCACTTAAAAAGACTTGCAATCAGACATCCAATTTCCGAAGGCATAGCCTCATTTTACACTTACATTATACTTCCATATCCTGGCTGAGACAAGCAACGTGAACAATATTTGCAAATCCCTAACCGATAAGATGGATCCTACTAACTACAATAATCAGCCATCAACATCAAAAAAAACTTTTTTCTCTAGTTATCCTGAACTTCCCCTAATGTTTAAATAAATTATACTTCTCTCATTGGTCTCAACCAGTCCAATTGGTCTGACCAGAAGTCCAACTAGAAAAAAGTGACCTAGCCATTTTTCAAGTTCAATCATCAGTTCAGCTATTGTGACATGCTGAATATACCAGGCGGACCTTGCCCGAACTACATCTCATTGTTGAGAAGTCGTGATGCTTCCTTAATCACACTTGACCAAATATTCTCGTTGTTAGCTAATTGGTGGATAACCCCAACCATTACCATCTTCCACTCTATCACTTGATACACCGTCCTCCATGGAACATGCTATTCTTATCCCATCCTCATCCCCTCTTAAACTGCCGAGCTTGAGGCCATGATGAAAACATGCTGACAGCACAATAGTCGGGCACCCTAAGACGGTTCACTATAACTGCAGTGATTACCTTCATTGGGTGGCCTCTCATATAATGAAAAGCCAAGACAATATAAAGGGTCACAAAAGAAATTCGATGGAGTCCGAATTCTGTCATGCATTAAATTCAATATAAAGCTGTCTACAGATGCACAATCATTATTTCTACAAATTCAATTATCATCTCCGACTTGACTGAGGAAATACCATTAACAAACAGATTTCACATAATCCAATTCATCTTGAGAGGAAGTTGTATCTAAAACATCCATCTCTTCATATCGAAAGCATGCAAATCTGTCCACCAACTCCAAGTCTCCAATTTACATAAACATAAACGTGACATGGACACCGATGCATGCCCAGGATGTTCCATGGGCCAAAAATAGCTAACACAACAAAATTTCCGTAGTCCATAACAAAATGTCCGCAGTCTAAGGAATGGACTCAAGGCATAGGTGGACAGGGCAGTGGATGCCACAATATGATGTCTTGAGTTCCATTCCAATAGAGGTAGGGGACCCTTCCCCCGCTGATCAACCAAAAAAAAGCTCCATTGTCCATACAATGCAATAAGTATAAAACATATGGAAAAGAATACAATGAGACCATTTATCTCTGGTACAAGGTGGTCACAATTAATCTTAACCATTGGATGTGAAATTTGATGGGTGCATTTATTCTATTGACCAAGCTCAAACTTCAAAATAAATTTTCTCAAAGTTTGTGACACCCAAGCTATCAAATTTTACATCAGATGGTTGCAAGTAATTGTGACCTCCATGTGTCAAAGGTAAATGTTCTCATTGTATACAATCCCGAAACATATTATTAACTCATGGGCTTTTGTAAGTCATAAACTATTACTTAATACATTGTCACCTTTTATTCGCAAATTAAATAAAGTATAATATATACCAAATACTTTTTATTGTTGTTTATATGTGATTTTAAAAACATTTTTTTTTTTTTGCTCGGAATAGAGCGCAAGCAATTACCTACAAGTGATGGTCCACACGGTAGACTATCGGGGCTTGTAGCCTTTAAAGCCCATGAGAGCATGTAAAAATAATAAATACTTAATCGTACACTTCAACAGGAGTATGTGTCGGTTGACTGCCTAGGGTTGGAGAGCCTAAGGCCCAGATCATGTCCAAAACCCTTTTCCCTCAACATAGGGACCACAGTTAAAGGTTTTCTGGAGGGTTATCCCTTGTTGAAATCGGAGAGATGTCGAAGGACAATGTGTGTGGCCCAAGTTAGTTTGATGATCCCCTATGTGTGGTTGTAAGCCTGGGATCACTGTTTCCAAAAGCGGACCGCCCAACGCTTGGGCACCCGCCTAGGCGGCCGCCCAAGGCCTTTGCCCTGCTCAGGGGCAAAAATACAGCTCCTTGAGGGTATGTTTTTAATATTAAAGAGGCAAAATTGTGGTTTTAGGTTCATTTGAAATCTAAAACCCATTAGAGGCTATTTTAGAGAGAGAACCAAAAAATAATAATTCTACTGGGCCGCTTAGGTTCTGGGCGCCCGCCTAGGCGCTGGGCGGCCTAGACCCCCCTGACCGCCTAGGTGCCACCTAGAGCTTTTTGAAACACTGCCTGTGATGGTGAGGGCCAAATCCTCAATAAACCTTGGCAAGACATGTGTATATGAAAGACGCATACATGTGCATTGAGAGTCCTCCTTGAATATAGTGATATGTGCATCTGATTTGCTCTTAGGAGGGGAACTTGTAATCTACATACGATCCAATCAAGAGCTACTATGCGCATGAGTGTGGATCATGGGTCCTGTTGGGTTGAGAGGATAGTTGCAGGTCACAAATTCTAGCATGGGTAGAGTGCATTGGCTGTCACTTTTCGAGATCCATTCGTACCAATCCACTTCTAGAATTACTTTCGAAGTGTTTTAGATTTTTTTCATAACATCAGAAATATTGTTTTTAGACTTGTGTATGCTCCTATGATTTTTAAATAATTTTCAGATTTTTTATAGCATATAAAAAATTATTTTATGGCTTAGAACCTTAAAAAGGGTAGTGCCGAAAATTTAGAAACTTGTAAGGGCATAGGAGGACCAAGTGTTTGATTTTTTTGCTTTTTTTAGGGGGGGTGGGAGTTGGGGGCAGATCATGGGCCCAGCTCCCACACATGGGCTGGGATGTGGGGCCTGCATCCGCTACACGCCCCACACTAGGTGCGACACCTCGCTTGTAAGGGGTAAGGTATCCCACTTGTTTGAGAAATCTTCCCTAACTAGATTATTTGAGATTTTATTAGTTTTGGTTGGTTAGGAAATATTCCTATGACTTTGAAATTTGACTAAGACTTTTTTACTTTGAATTAGATATTCATGTTAACTTTGATTTCTAAAGATATTAGAAGTGGTTTCTATGTGAATACGAGTCCATATACCCGGGAAGATCTAGTTCTAGTGTAATTCGGAATAGATATGGATAAAAAATTTAGCGGATAACGTTTCATTCTTCCTAAATCATGATGGCTGATTTCAGGAATGGATGGCTCTCATTTGTTTTCTCTCTCACCTCACAGATTACCAGGGAACCATGTGGTCAAACTAAATCCTAATTGAGAATGGGTATGCCCTAGGACTTTGAGGCCTATATAAAGGGTAGTCCTTCCCCTCATTCAATCCGTCAGAGTTAAGACCTCTCTTTCTCCGTTCCTTCTCTCCTCCATGCCCCTCTCTAGCTTTCTTTCTCTCTTCTCTCTCTAGTCTAAATCCTAAACAGTCAACCTAGGCAAAGGTTCAATAAGTCTTCCAGTTTTCTGTTTAACAATTTATTTTTCAGCTTGATTCATTTTTGCTTTAGAAGTGTCTTAATTGTATTAGGAGTCTTATTTGAATTAGGATTCTTGGACTAGGAATCCTAATTGTAGTAGAATTCATCATTAAAAGTTTGATTTATTGTTTGCATAAAGTTTATTTGGTTGTAAGAGTTAAAGATCCTAGATTGTAGTAGGTTTATTTCTGTATTGTATTGTAGCAATTGTAAGTAGAAATTCCAGTCATAAATAAAATAAAAAAAAGAAATTTTTTGAATTTATACGTTGGAATTCTACATAGCCATATCTTTTATAGCCTCCAATCCCACTATTCAACTCATCTAGTAAAAACGTCCTTGAAACATAATTTATTGTAATTGTACATTTTTGTAAAGTTACATAATATATTTTGTTTCCACCCATGTTTTTTCTATGAGAACAAACATGGGATGTGTAAGGTTCATGATGATAGATAAAAACTACTCAGTAAATGCTTCATCATTGAGTTTCTTACACAGATTGATGAAATTATCAAAAAGAAGGAAATGTCTGCTTGTTGCAACAAAAAAGAAGCATATTTACAACAATCCCATCTTCCAACCAAACATGCATCCATTATGCCGACATAATAGAGTCAGTTAATATATCACCTATTAGAACTTATTTAAAAATGGACAGTATAAGTGAAATACAATGAGATTTAACGACTAGGTAAACCACCACAATGGAAAACTGCCAACTAGAAAAAGATACAAAGTCAATGATGAGATTGCTATCAGTACCTTTGGGAACACCAGGTCATGACGATTTGGTGAAGATATCATGAGCACTTCCAATCTATCAACTACACTTCCAATATGGTCATCAACCAGATCTATTAACCTGTATGGAATACACCTGTTCAGGGCCAATTTACTAGTTAAAAATCAGAAGTGAACAATATGCAAACACCAATTTAATCAACAAACTTCATAAGAAAGAGCGATGAAAGGAAAGTCAAAGCATGAGTATGATATCGAGGTGCACATCAAACTATATATCACAAACTGAGAACCTAATAAAGACGATCATCAGAGAAATTCAAGCTTCTAGTATCACATTTACATGTTCCTTGGGAATGAATGCCCACAACACAACAAAAAATTCCATTATCAAAATGCAAACATGAAAGGTCAAGGCTTGGGGTAGATTGATACTAATACATATATGACTTGGACATACATGGTTCTCCCAATAAAGTTCTCATATCCCAAGAAATAGGTCTCACAAGCCAAGGGATGAAGCAATGAGAATTTGAAAGCAAGGACATTCCACATAAGTTTCGAGGAGAACAGTAGAAAATACTTCACCCGGCCAACTTCTTAATAATTGCTACATAAAGGAAGGCCGTATTGATTAGTTTAAAGATTCGGTATCATGACCTAGGATTTCATTCATGTTCAACCTGAAGTCTTTCCAAGTTTCAAATGAGTAAATGTTGATTATCAGGTGTCATATTTCTAAAGATCCATCCAATCCCTCAATGAGGACCCCTTTACTTATTGTTCAAGGTAGTTAAGTAGTTGAGAGTCTCATCACATGGCTGTACATTAATATAGAACACAATGAAATAACTTCGCAGGCTGCATCAATTAATTGGGAATGCATGAAAATAAAGCTATCAGAAAAAAAAAATAGAGATAATCATCCCTTTAGCAAGGCCAGAGAAAATCTCTTAGGAGTCTTCACTATTCTCGAGGTCTCCTTTTGCCTTTCATGAACTCCTGTGACTGTGGAAGATGAGTCTCTAACATCACATCTGGAACTACAGAGATGGATTGTCCCTGAATATAGCAAATTCATGAAGGAGAGCAATAAGGTGTCTACCTCCCATTCCCATGTATTGAAAGAAGTCATTGGCAAGGCCAGTTTCAAAGGATGGTTAGGGAAGGCACACTGCCAAAACGCAATTTGCTCCGCTTCAGTGAAGAGGCCCAAGCTGAATCATCCAACCTTTTTGGCGAATGCAAATAAGCACAGTGGAAAATATTAAATTGACAAAACCATTGGAAGAAAAATTCTCAGTTGACAAGGAATAAGAGGGACAATAGTCAAGCTCAGAGAAAATTGAAGGATGGATTAGTTACAACAAGATATCTAGGGTTAATCGTGAGGAGTTCCCACCAATTTGGGCATCAAACTTCATCAGAAACTAAAATACTGTGATCTTCTGGAGGGACAGGGAATGTCCAATCAAGTGTTGGGTATCTCCATCATGAAGTTAAACTTTGATGGAAACTGGGTAAGGAACAAATAAACTTCAAGAATAGAGAAATTTGTTTAGAAGAACTATGAGGCCTGATGCATAGTTTTCTTGAGTTAGCTGATTATGGTGATCTAGATAGTGCAGAAGCCCTTTCTCTTCAACTGGCCTCGAACTATTTTATTATTTCTTCTCCATATACTTAGTTGTGGATGGTCTTTACAAATTATCAGGTGTACTAACAGGAAGGTCTCTGTTCAAAGAATACTCATGGGGCAGTTCACTGGTTCGTCATTCTCTGCACCGAAGGTTTCTGACATTTCTTATGTTACCCAAACAATTCATTCTCAAAGAAGTATCACTACCATGTGATAACACTCGTATACCTTGTTGACACTTTTAAACGCAAGGGTAGTAAAAATGTGTGTGTATATATATATATATATATATATATATAGAAGAAAAATCTTGGGTGAGCCCACTAGCTCACATGAATAAATGAGCCCAATGGCCCAGATTGAATCTGGGCCGATCTGACGATCACAGATGTCCGGTATTGTTTGAATTTTAATTTTTTTTTCTACAAATACAAATCACTTGAAATTCTTTGACGTGTGTTTTTCTCATCAAGCCGCACCTAATAAAAATATAAAAAAAATAATTCGCGAAAACAAATTGACCAAAATACCCCCAAAACTTTTCGGGGGTAGTTTGGTCAATTTATTTCATGTAAAATAGTTTTTTGATATTTTTCGAAGATTCACTTATTTTTTATGTACACACATTCCAAATTTCAAGTGATTTGGATTTGTAGAACAAAAATTAAAATTCAAACATTATCGGACATCTATGATCATCAGATCAACCCAGATTCAATCTGGACCTTTGGGCTTTTTTCATGTGAGCTAGTGGGCTCACCCTAGCATCTTCCATATATATATATATATATACACACACACACACACACACACATATATATATAACCCTATATCAAGTACAACGGTGGGGTTTGATCCCAAGATGCTTACCAATTAAGAAGGCCTATCCACGCTATTTAATAAGGGATTGTCTACAAGAGACCATTTACCTTATGTATAAGGAGGTCACAAATATTCCCACTCATTAGATGTCAAATTTGATGGCTTGGGGTGAGTTACAAAGTCTGATAATTTTTTATTTTTTTGGAACTTTGTGTCTAATTAATGACACTCTTACAAACCACCCATTTTGAAATCTAAAGGACAAGTATGATTGCGACCTCCTTGTACAAAAGGTAAATGATCTCTTTGTAGACAATCCCATTTAATAATATGGATTATTTAGAATATATAAATTAAAAGTATGTTATTTTTATTATAAAAAGATAATGTACAAGCTTGTCTTACCATAATGGCATTTTAGGCTGAAATACTAGACTCACTTCGAACATGTCTAGTTTCACAAATCTGTGTTGAATAATGGGTGAAATGTAATTAACCATGATTAAAATTTGCATGTCGAATTTATGAAATTGCGAACTCCAAGAATGCAATGATCCTTTTAAATGGAAATGGAGTTAAAATGATTAATCAAAAAAATTTGGCATTAAGTCAGGGTGATTGAATGGTAGGGAGTGGATTCAATTTCTAACCAATTATTAAGACTAAATGATAGGAGGTTGATTCAATTTTTAACCAATTATTAAGGCTGAATCCAGACTTCACATGATTGGTAAATCCTACTAGAGATTTAAAAAGACAATAATTTTTGGGTCAACCCCATTATTGAACTCTTCTTTCTTCTGGGGGTAGAACCAAAAAAAAAAAGGAAAAAGAAATACCGGTCAAGCAACGAGTATGAAACTTGCACTTTCTTCTTCCATCCTGCATTTTTCTAATAAGCATGCCGTAAATGAAATGAAGCTTGTAAAGAATCAAAAAGAAGAAGATGAGTGTAAGAAAACAAGGACTTGGTCAGGAGTCACAAGTGCCTCGAACTCGAGTCAGGCCTGGCAGATTCGGCCGCATCCAAAAAAAAAATACATAAATTATTTGGAACCAGCCAGATTCAGACAGTTCCCACATGATTGGTTGCAGGCTCCAGAGGGTGCTTACTGCTTAGAGTGACTCTAACAAGTCCGAATGGACTTGCCCTCGGACTCGCAAAAGTGACCCAGGTGAGTCCAAGTGGATTTGCCAGGGTTATCCAACACTGAAATTAGCAATGAACAGAAACAAATAAACGCACAAACTCTGATACAAATTATCAATGATAACATGTCCAAAATGCAGAGAATGAAAAGATATAGAGAAATCTAGAGCGAAAGGGCGAGAGAATAACTTGAAGCTCTCTGCCTCTGACTAAACTATCGAGAACATCACGAGTGATATGCAAAGAAAATGGAGAGAGACATAGAGTATACCCAGCAACAAGGCGAAATCCATCTTTACCATACAGTTGCCGATGTCGCCCGGTTCGAGCTGGTATGTCCGACATCATAACCTACAGTCAATCTTCAAACAAACGTTAACATATATGTCAATTCTTCAATGAATTTCAACAAAATCTTTGGAAAGACACATAAATTTAGAAAGAGAAAGAGAGGGACAGGAATGAGAGAAAAGGTTGAGAGCATGTAAACGAGCTAGCAACAAAGAGATGGAGAGAGAGAGAGAGTACATGAAAAATGATTATTAACATGAGGTCAAACTATCAGATTCGAGGAAGAAAATATGAGGCCATAAAATCACCTTTCGATATTACAAAAAGCAGTCTCATAACCCTGTTTTCTCTGAAAAGCCAAGATTCCAGAAACCCCTTGCCTTCCAGAAAGCAACGAAACTGCATTTCCACGGATGCAACATAACTCACAAACATAAACCTAAAAAAAAAGAAACAACCAGAAGCGAACAAAGCTCATCCATGGAAACCCTCAATGAGAAATGAAATCCTAGAGAGAGAAGCAACAGTTGAGCCAAAAGCCTACAAAACTACATACGAAAAAGAAGAGAGAGAGGGATGAGAGGAGGAGGACCGGAATTGCAGAGGCCGACCAGCCCTGGCTGATCGATTCTCATGCTACCTCTCCAATGGAACCAGAGGCTGCAACCACCATTGAAGTGAACAAAAACAATGAATATGTGCATTTAAATGACATTAAAAATTCATAAAATAAGGCCAATAATTTCAAAAAGGATCCTTCAAAGAAACACCATTGATATACCTAGAAGGGACCTGGTAACGACTGAATCAATGGGATTTTCAAATTGCAGAAACCCTAGAAAAAATGAGATAAAAAAATGGTACTTTACTAAATTTGGATGAGCTCTCTGATCCTTGCTAGTTTTAGCGGGAGGAATTTGGAGCCCCGAATTAAGAGCCGCATTTATTGACGATGAGAGAGAGAAAATTAATGGATAAAATTGCGCGGAAAGGGGAATATTAAACACGGCCTCGTTTGGATCACATGTTGTCATTTATCATCCCTCTTCTCTTTTTCTTTTCTTTTTTAAACTTAATAAAATAGTTTAATTTTGGCGGTATTTAAATTTTTAAATTTCGAGGTACTTAAAAATGTTGCAAATAGATAAATGTACCCCTTATATCCCATTTAAAAAGTTTTGCAGGCTGAACTATATTTCTACAATATGTAGTCCAGAGGTATAAAGCATCTATGGATATAAATAGGAAGTCCATCTAAAAATAAGTGTAATTAGTACTCTAAATTTTTTTTAATATAATTATTTTATTTTATTTTATTTTATTTATTTTTTATTTTTTGCATATTCATGATCCCATGTTATAGATCATATATTCTCAAAAAACCAATATCCCCTTGTTTTCTTTTTTTACAATTTCAACCTAATACAAAGATTGAAAATCCAAAAGTCACTAATCATATTTTTTTTTAAAGTGATTTTTAACTTTAGATATTGAAAATCCAAAATAACTTTTAAATTTGGTTGGAATATCGGAGAAGTTGCATGGAATTCTTTGCAATTTAGATATTAAAAATATGAAGTTAATAATGATTTCCAGTCAAAGTGATTCCAGTTTGTTTCTCCTATAAATTCCTTTAAAAAATAATATGACTATTGATATTAAAAATCCAAAGTCATTTGTGACTTCGGATAAGCAATCTCCTGAGTCAAGAGCAAACTTGGAATTAATGAACTCGAAACTCCAAGTTTCGAATCATTCAATCAAAAGAGCAAAAAAACCAAAAAGAAACAAGTGATGTGGTTTGAAATCTTCAGACTCCCAAGTTTCGAAGAGGCTCACTTGTTTGTTTTTATTAGAAGGACAGATTCAGAACTTGAAGTTCCGGACTATTTGCTTTAAGAAAAAATTGGTTCATAACCTGAAGCTCCGGTCATGCATATAAACATTCTTGTTCACAACTTAAAAAGTACCAAATGGATGCTATATTCGAAAAATAAAAAAGAAAAATCTGTAAAGCAAAATATAGTACCACAAAAGTTCATAAATTAAGAGATTTTACTTCGATTTCCCTTTGTCGACATTCACATTTCGGTAATTGTTAATCCCGCCAAAACATTTTCTATTTTCACCCAAATTCAGTGAAAGTATAGGAATGGAGTTTATGGGTGGCAATGGGCCGAGAGGCTCAGCCTGACCTGGTCAGCCCGGCCCTAAAAAAATTACGGCCTGGACCACAAAATGTGGCATGATTGATGGGCTTGGGCTACGTCAAGATAGGTTTGGTCGGGCTCGACTTTATTTGTTTCACTTTTTGTTTGGGTGCGGTTTGTATAGAGCCGAGGCTCTAAACAATAAAAGTAAAGTGCACATTCAAATAGTGTCAAGAAATGTTGTTTCAACACTGAAAATTGGTGTGATAACCTTAAAATATATTTTCATCTATAATTATAAAATTTAAAGCTTTAAAAATAGTGTAGATCGAGCGGATCTATATAAACTTAAAAATCTGGAAAATTGGAGGCCCAAAAATGTATTAGAAGATGCACTATTTCAAAAACATGAAATCCATTTTTTTCTCATGTTCATGCATCTTGACGTGGAGATGATCAATTTGAGGATATTTGAGCATCAAAAACAACCTCTTTCTAGTGAAATTTTTGATGTAGGCTTCAATTTGATTGTTTAGAGCTTCAAGTCTATGTAAACTTTTTCCTTTTTGTTTTGTTTTTTTAAAATTTATTGGACCCGGCCCAGCTCAGCCTTTATAGGGCAAGGGCTGACGCGCCTCAAGCCCTACCCATTGCAAGCCCATGGATCAATGGAAGAATTAAGAGCCAGTTTTAGAGGCGCGAACTCCTGTTTTCTTCTTTTTGAATTGTTTAGGTAGTGAGATTCTTCATGGGGAGACTACGGGTTGCTGCGTGCACGCCGCTCTATCATGAAACTTTAACTTTTCCAGAAAAGATAGAAGAAACTACTCAAATGCTTTATAAAGATAGATTTTATTTTCTAGATTATAATATAGGAAAAACTTTTCCTTTCCATCATTAGAAGTTTATAAAGAGAATTTTCCTTGTTAACGATTAGAAATTAATTTCATCTGTAAAGCCAAAAATGGAGATCATTTCTTACTTGTTTTCAAGATAAAATATCATTAAATTTTTCAGATGAATAGTTTATCAGTTTATTAATAACCTGGTTGTTTAAAATAATTCACCCAAGTAGATGTATTTTAGGAATTTAAATATTATGGATGCATTAAAATGCTCTCATATATTTTCTTTTAGAAAAATGAGTTTGGAATCCGACAAGTAATAATATCATTGTCATTTAACTCGGCCATTGAATCCAACTAGACAATATAATACACCTACTTGTTTTGGGTTCTAATCGAAATAACCAAATTAGAAACCATGCTAAAACTCACCCAGGCTAATCAAGCAATGTAAAAATACAAAAATAACCATCTATCATAAGATTTCAGACCCAGAACAATAGCATTTTAAATATGGAAAAGGTTTATCGGTCCTAAACAATCAAATTAAAGCGCACCTTTAAAATTCACATGAAGAGGTTACAATGCTAAAAAACCATAAATTCGATCATTTCAACCTCAAGATTTATGGACATAAGAAAAAATAAATTTCAAGTTTTGAAACTAGTGTATCTTGTAATGTATATTATCTAAACTGTCAATTTTCAAGTTTTTCAAGTGTTCATAGATATGCTCAATCTATATTATTTTTTAATATTTAATTTTTATAATTAGATATAAAAATAAATTTTCATGTCATCATAACTATTTTTTATATTAAAATAATATATTCGGCATTATTTGAAGGTGTACATTACTTAGATCACCCTTTAAAATACTTAAAGTGAAAAGATTGTTGAAAGCATCCACTTTGTTGATAAATTCGTTCGTGTGGCTCTAGTGATTTATAAGATTGACCATTTCAATCATATTTTCCACATTTTCCTTGGTGGAAATCTATCAAAACATATCTAAGATTTCGTAATTTAATAATTTATTAATTTTAAACCATTCCAACTCATAGACATGAGTATTTGTTAATATTTTGAAATTAAATAAAAAGATACGAGTAAAATATTAAATTGGCAATTTGTTACGTTGCTTTGGTAAATTTCCTTCTTAGCACAAATGCTATGCTCCCTTGGGAGCATATATTGTGTATATACTCCCTCAACCAATAGACTAACTTGGGAGGATATTTTCCAGCCTGAAATTTTAAGAACCACCTAAGAATAACTAGATGATTTTGTTAAGTAGAAAACTTAAATTGTAAGTTTTTGACACTTAGATCTAGTCTCTCCAAAGTTGAACGGTCTTTGTTCAATCTTTACATTATCATTTTCAAATGCATAAAAAGTTCAATTGAGAAAAAGAATTATTTTTATTAAGTTAGTCTGAAGAGGTTACATCCCAATTTTATTAAGTTAGTTTGAAGAGGTTACATCCAAAAAAATTAAGTTCCAAAATTCCTCCCGTATTAGGTTTTACGTAAGAGAGTAAATAGACACTATACTCCTGCGGGAGTATAAAATCTTTGGCATTTCGTAAGTTCTACCATTTGCTGCCAACGGTTTAAAGTTGCGGTGAAAAGACGGATCGCGGAACGTACCGATATTTTGTTGTCGGCTGTGGGCCCTACATCTGACTGGATTAACGGCAGATGTGAATGTGCTCGGGTCCGCCAACCATTTCATTGTCGGCGAAAAATAAAGGTGAGACGTGGACGGATTCGGTATTTTCAATTTATTTTACTACAAAATTTAACGTGATGCGAAGACTTTGCCAGGTCTTCGCTTCTCATAATACAAAATTGTGTAATGACTAATGAGTGTTTAATAATTACACTTTAATTATTAGAATTTTTGAAATCTTTTTTTAAAGAATGTAGTTTAACCTTAAAGAATTCAATTAAAGCGCATCTCCAAATTTTATCATAATCTAATTTTGGTATAAAAATTTCTTAAGATTATCTCAAAATCTATTTTCCTATCTAAGTACAAAATTTTAAACTTCAAAAATAATTAAAATCACCTAAATCTACAAAAATATGAAAATTTGAAAATGGATGGTCCAGATAATGTGTTGCATGATGCACTATTTATGAGACTCAAAATATTTTTTTTCCATATTCATACATCTAGATGTTGATATGATAAATTAAAGGGCTTTCAACATTAAAACAACATTTTCCGATGGATTTTTTAAGCGTATCTTTCATTCTATATTTTAAGGTTGCAACCTTATGTAAATTTTGCCTTTTTCAAAGACCTTAAATGATTTGAATTTGAAATTTCTTAATTGGTACATGTTACTATAGTCCTAAGGGTTCATCACCGTTCATTGGAATAATGGAAGGTGATGGAGATAGGGTGGCCCCTACAAGGCTTGTTTGTTTGGCAGGTCCCATATGATTGAATCCATGTTCATGACCTTAATGACTGTGCTTTTTCATGGTCATCAGGACTACATGGGAGTGCTGTTTTTGTAGCGATACCACTTTATTGAATTTGTTAAATCCGCGTGTCAAAACCCTTCTAGCATTTTTGGTACCAAATTCATAGTGACAGTATGTAGATCTATGTTTGCCGGACTATAAAATTTCAAGCTCAAAAAATAGTGCAGGTTTAGTAGGTCTATTAACACTTGAGATGTCTAGAAAACATGACAAGATAAATCATTTTAAGGCTTCAAATCCTTCTTCTTCTTTTCTCTATCCATAATTTCCAAATTAAGATAATTGATTTACAAGTTTAGCCAAAAAACATCACCTTCCATTCGCTTTGAGGTGTGCCTTTACACAACAACGTTACAAAATACTTTCTCATTCTCTACAAATTCATTCTAGTGTGTACAAGGAGACTACCACTAAAAAAGTAAAAAAAAAACATTCTAAGCTGGTAGATATGAAATCTGATGAGACAATTTAGGATGTTTGCTGCTTTTTTATGCCAAAGTTGCTTTTTTATAGCA